CTGGCACAGGTGCAGGCCAGCTCCGGTGTTTCTAGATCAGGCGTGTCCCGCATGCTGAGCGCGCTCGGGCTGGGGGGGGAGGGCTGTGTCCCAGCAAGGCGGCCCCCAGCGTGACCGGCCACCTGTGTTAGTGCCGTCCTAGCCCAGGGAGAGGCCCTGGGCCTCCACAGAGCCCCGTGCACACGCGCGGAGGTTGTGGGGGGCGTGGCCCACGGCCTGCCCCGCGTTTCTTTCCCACTGGCTTGTTTGCAGAAAGGCAGCGCACTGGGGGTTTCGAACGCCTTTCGGGGTCTGTTTTTTGAGGCCATCACGATGTTGGTAGCTCCTGCCTTTCACATCAGCCCCTCACCAGCATTCCTCCACTCATGGCGATGCGAACGCCAGACCCTGGTTTAGAACCTTCCAGCCCCTTGAGGGAATGCATCTTCCTTCCCCGGTGACGTGGTGGCTGGGGAGAGGTGGCCAATCTGTTCAGACACCCTTGATCCTTTTCTTTTTTTCCTTTTTTAAGGATCAGCTGATTTTCGGTTAGCTGTCGACAGACGGGCTCTCTTCAGATTCTCTCATTGAGTGAACTGTGGCAAGCCTCTGTGATCCCTCCCGCCATCTTGCTCAGGGCTTGTGGGCAGCTGAGTGCTTTCTCCTCACACCGGGGCGGGGGCAGGGGTGCTGACATGGGAGGATTTGGGGGTCAGATGGTGAGGTGCCTTCCAGTGTGTTCTGAGAGAATGGGTGTCTCTAACATGGAGTCGTTCTTCTACTGAAAAAATAGAATCTATCCCTAACTTTTGGAGGAGGAGTTGAGCAGGGATTTAGTCGGAATCTTGGTTTCAGTTGGAACTGCCCGGGACATGGCAGTGCTCGACCTGACTGACAGCAGCAGGCCGGGGCGAAGGTGACACGACACCGCCCTTCCGTGGCAGCTCTGTCCTGCCTGGACTCTGGTCGGATTGCTCGCTTTTCTATCAGCTCTCAACCTCCTGAGAGCTACAACGGCAGCAGCATACCACCTTGCTGGCCATTTTCCTGCAAGACCTTAACGTTTGGCAAAGTTGTTCCTGTTTGTATTACTGCTCCTTCCTTCCTTCCTTCCTTCTCTTTCTCTCTGTCTGTCTGTCTGTCTGTCTGTCTGTCTGTCTGTCTCTCTCTCTCTCTCTCTCCAGTACTAACTAGGGCTTGAACTCAGAACCTGGGCACTACCCTTGAGCTTTTTTTGCTCAAGGCTGGTGCTCAACCATCTGAGCCTCAGTTCCACTTCTGGCGTTCTGGTGGTTCGTTGTAGATAGTCTCACAGAGTTCCCCACTTGGGCTGTCTCCACACTGCGATCCTCAGCGCTCAGGCTCCTGAGGAGCGAGGACCACAGGTGTGAGCTCCAGCACCCCGCAGCTCCAGTTCTAGGGATGCAGAAATTTGCCTTCTGCCGGGCCGGGCCTCTCATGCTGGTTGCTACAGCACTGCCGTCTCAGCTGATGCAGCGTTCCCGGTCTGCCCGGGGTTCGTGGCCTTCACCGGCGGTGCCTTGGCCTCGTTCTCTGCTGTAGCTGTTTAAGTTCCACCTCTGCTGCAGGTCTTGTTTGAGCAGATGTGGTCACAGGACCTTGTGCTGCAGCTCTGAGCCGCGATTCCACAGCTGCTCTCCCTTCCTCTCCGGCACCTGCCTTTCTCTGGTTTGCTCTGTCCAGCTCATTGTGACTAGGACGGTAGATGCCCTCGTTCTTATTTAACAGAAAGCATCGACACCCCCTTACTACTAGCTGGCTAATAAAATAAAAAGAAAACACACACACACTGCACACACACGCTTCCTCTTCCCTTCCAGGATAATAGAACTTTAGAAATTCAAGCTGCTTTTCCCACTCCTTGTTGACTTAGTGCAGTCATCACAGAGACGCGGCAGTTCGTGGCTGGTGCCTCACTTCTACACTCCCAGTGTCGCTGTGACTCCTGTTCACAGCCTCTCTTTGCAAGAATCTTTCCTGCCTGAGTACGTGCTTGTGGCTCCTACTTGTAATCTCATCTACCCAAGGAGGCTAAGACCTGGAGGATGGTGGTTCAAAGCCAGCCTGGGTAGAAAATTCCACAAGACTCCACCTCCAGTTCATCAGCAAAATGCTGGATAGGAGGCATGGCTGAGCAAGAGGGCCGGGCCCCGAGTTCAAGCCTCAGCACTCACGCTTGTGCGCACGCCGTTGACTGCTGCTGGCTCGGCCCCATCGCCGGCGCTGGGGGGACGGTGAACATGTCAGCGTCTTTCTCCTCTCGGTACCTTTCTCGCACACTTGTTCTTGCTATTTTTTTTTCTGCCCAGTGTGTGCCCTGCATCTTTGTGGCCGCTGGGCGGTCCTGGGCTGTGGGTGGCTTGGTGGCAGGGTGAGGGAGGAAGGCCGTGCGAGGGGCTGCCGCGGACAGACCCGCGACCTGCTCCCCGCACCCCGCTCCAGACGTCCATCCCCACGCTCTTCCCGGTCCCAACGCCCAGCCCCCTCCTCTTCCTCTCCCCACCCCGGCCTGTTCCTCAGCCGCGTCTCCTATTGTGCAATGATTGCTAATTAATTCCCAGGCAGAGTGATGGATGGGTTGATGAGCCCTGTTTTCCCTCGCTCTGCCAAGGACTGGGCAGGACTGTAGGGTGCTGGGCCTGGTGGTGTGGGAAGCCAGGTCTTGGCAGAGGCAGCCCGGGAACAGCCCAGACCTGGACCTCAACCTGCGCCCCTCCCCTGCCGCGGGGCCACTGTTGGCCTTTCCTCCTCCCTCCCTGGGGACCATCCACTGCTAGAAGCTTCTCAGCAAGGGAGCTCAGCTGAGAAATGTCCTGCTGTGAGCCCTGCTCACACTGGTACACTGGTCCTCCTGCTATTCCTAAGGCCCCTCCTTGCCTGGTGCTCCTCCTCCTCCTCCCTACACCACACCCCAGCTGCTCCTCCCCCTCCTCCCAGCCCCACACCCCAGCTGCTCCTCCCCCTCCTCCCAGCCCCACACCCCAGCTGCTCCTCCCCCTCCTCCCAGCCCCACACCCCAGCTGCTCCTCCCCCTCCTCCCTACACCACACCCCAGCTGCTCCTCCCCCTCCTCCCAGCCCCACACCCCAGCTGCTCCTCCCCCTCCTCCCTACACCACACCCCAGCTGCTCCTCCCCCTCCTCCCAGCCCCACACCCCAGCTGCTCCTCCCCCTCCTCCCAGCCCCACACCCCAGCTGCTCCTCCCCCTCCTCCCAGCCCCACACCCCAGCTGCTCCTCCCCCTCCTCCCTACACCACACCCCAGCTGCTCCTCCCCCTCCTCCCAGCCCCACACCCCAGCTGCTCCTCCCCCTCCTCCCTACACCACACCCCAGCTGCTCCTCCCCCTCCTCCCAGCCCCACACCCCAGCTGCTCCTCCCCCTCCTCCCAGCCCCACACCCCAGCTGCTCCTCCCCCTCCTCCCAGCCCCACCCCCCAGCTGCTCCTCCCCCTCCTCCCAGCCCCACCCCCCAGCTGCGCCTCCCCCTCCTCCCAGCCCCACACCCCAGCTGCTCCTCCCTGCATCATGCCCTGCTTTCTTCCTGGCCTCGGCTGCACAGGTGCTCTTGTCATCTCTCTGAGTGTCATCATGAAGCCCAGGCCCCAAAGAATTCTCCATGGAAGAAAAGGAGGCACCACGTTTGACAATTTCTCTGTACTGATTTACCACTGCTACAGCGAGAAAGCCACAGCCGGTCAATGCCGGCACCACCACACCCCTACCAATTACCATGACCACTGCACCCCTACAATTACCACGACCACCGCATCCCCACCAATTACCACGACCACCACACCCCTACAATTACCACCACCACCGCCACCCTCACCACTGCACACCATCACCGCCAGCACTGCTACCACACCATTCCCATTGTTCTCAGTCTGTGTGTGTGTGTGTGTGTGTGTGTGTGTGTGTGTGTGTGTGTGTGTGTGTGTTCATCGTGGGGCTTGAGCTCTGACCCTGGGCGCTGTCCCTCAGCTCTTCAGCTCAAGAAACATGCTCTACCACTTGAGCCACAGCACCACTTCCAGTTTTCTGGTGGTTCATTGGAGGGCAGAGTCTCAGAGACGATGTTGCTGCCCCGGCTGGCTTTGAACTTCAGTCCTCAGATCTCAGCCTCCTGAGTGGCTAGGATGACAAGTGTGGGCCGCCGGCACTGGGCTCGTTCTCAGCCTTTATCACGGCCCATTGCCATGAGTGTAGTGTGTGTGTGTGTGTGTGTGTGTGTGTGTGTGTGTGTGTGTGTGAAGCGCTTCCTGGGCTCTGTGCCTCACCTTTTGTCCTTGGCGGTCACAGCGGCAGAGCGGTGAGCACTCCGATCTCCTGGCCCTGCCTGGGCCCCCCCATCTCCCAGGTGTGGAGCGTGTCCCCCCTCAAGGTGCAACGCAACGCCAGCCCCTCCGGCCTCCCCCCAGCGCTCCCCCTCCCCGCACAGGTGTATGAAGCAGGGAGCAGCGTGGACCAGTTCGTGACCCGCTTCCTCCTGAAGGAGACGGCCGGCCAGATCCAGTCGCTGCTCAGCTCCGTGGAGAGCGCCGTGGACGCCATCGAGGAGCAGACCAGCCAGATCCGGTGCGCGCCTGGGCCCTGCGGGGCCACTGGGGGGGTGATCGCCCCCTCTTCTCTGGGCTCCCCTCGGGCATCTCACTGGTACCAGTCTCAGTCACCGCCTCAGCACAGAGTAGCACAGTGGCCTCCGAGAGGCTGGGGACTGGTGTGTCCCTGGCCTGTGCCAGGAGGAAGCTGGTAAACTCCCAGCCCTAGAGCCACACCTCTGAGACACCGGCCCAGAGCGCAGGGTCCTAGGATGGCCCTGGGTTTCAGGCCTGGCTCTGCCCCGGCTGGCTGCGTGACCTGCCCCACAGACCTCACCTTTTCTTCTATTACATGGGAGGCCACGCTGCCCACGCCGCAGGCCTGGCAGTGCAGGTCTGCACTGGCTTCAGCCCCTAGCTGTGCTTAGAACACGCAGGCTGGAGCGGAATGGCTCTGAGAGCCTGCGGCTTCCCCCTCCCGCCGCAGACAGGACCACTGCAAACCCAGCCACGTTGTCATGGAGACCTGGTTTGGAGGCCCCTCTCCTCCCTACGCCCCCAACCACAAGCTTGCCACCCCAGAGCAAGGGAAGAGCCTGTCGCCCGGTGAGAGGGGACCGCGGGTGCAGGGGTTCTGGGACAGGGCCCGGCCTGGGGCGGGGTGGACACTGGGGGCTCTGCCCCAAACCAGGGTCTCCGTTTCTCTTTTGCAGTCACCAGGGACCCAAAAGAGGACGGTCTGGAGGCCCAGATCGGGAGGCTGGCAGAGCTGATTGGACGGCTGGAGAGCAAGGTAGGACCTGCCCCTATTCCGCCCTCCTCCCAGGCAGAAGCGAGTGGTGGGACTGAGGGCAGATGCGGGGCCAGCGTGGGGTAAGGAGGGCGCTCGGGCAGTGCCAGGGAGCAGGCCGGTGACGGACCAGCAGGGCCATGCTGCAGGACGCCATTCAGAGGCTGGGCGGGGAGGGCAGCTGCGCAGGGAGGGTCCCGGCTCGGTGGGGCACTCACACGGGGACTGTTTGTTGGAAGCAAGGAAAGCTGGCCGTGGATCACTGACAGGTGGGCTCAGGTGTCTCACTGCTGGCATTCCAACGCTGGTGCCACCTGTGTGGCTGTGTGGCCCTGGGCCGGGGACGTACCCTCTCTGAGGCTCAGATTCTCCTCTGATGATAGAGAAGACAGCACATTGTACCCTTTGCCAATGGGCCTAACCCCAGAGCCAGGTGTCCGGTTATGGTCAGTGCCAGCCACGTGCGAAGAGATCACTGGACACTGTCACCAGCTCCACTTGCCTGCCGTGCTCCTCTACCAGAGCGGGCCCTGGGGCCCGGGACGGGTGGCCCTGTCCACATTCCTCCCAGAGGGCGCCAGTACCTGGAGGATTTGGGACTCACTCTGAGGGCGTCCCTTGTGAGACAAGGACTCTCCACCCGAGAGACGGGAGACCCTGGTTGGCAACAGGTCCCGGGGAGGAGGCTGGAGACCCGCCGGGCTGAGGCCAAGGCGGGGTCCCGCTACCGCCACGCACCGAGGCCCAGAGCAGCTCCGGCTCCGGGGGACCCTGCTGCCCGTTGTCATGACAACTCAGTGGGGGCTGGGGGGGAGGAGGAGGAGGGAGGAAGGCTGTTTGAAGCTTATTTTTAGACCCTGGTTGCCCTAACAACCAGGCTGGCTGGCAACTTGGAGCACCTGGGCATCCTGGAGATGGGTGGGGTCCTCCTCCATAGCCTCTGATTGGCCCAGGCCTGGACGCTGGAGCCAGTCACCCCAAAGGCCCACCTAAGCCCCCTTCTGCCCCTCGGGGTGAGGGAGGAGGGGGGGGGGGTCGCCCGTGGGCATCCCTCATTCTTGCATGGAAAAGGCAGAGCGGCTGGCTACAGCCCCTGCCCTCCCGGAGACCAGGCCTGAGAACCGGCCAGGCCTGCATGGGGGGGAGGGGGGTACCCTTGGCTACTACCTGTGGGCCTAGGGTCAGATGTGTCCTGCACAAAGCCAGGCAGAGGTGACTGTGTAGCTGCACCCCCCCCCACGGCCCCGTGTCCTCACACCGGTGCACTGTATGCGTGCAGCCGGACAGTCTGCCTTGTGAAGGATGGGCGGCAGTTATTGGGGCGCCCAAGTTAAAGAATAGCAAAGGCTGCAACTGTGCGGTGTCTAAATTAAAGAATGATGAGAGAGCCGGTGCCGGTGGCTCCCGCTGTCATCCCAGCTACTCAGGAGGCTGAGGTCTGGAGATCGCCGTTCAAAGCCAGCCCAGGCAGGAAAGTCTGTGAGACTCTTATCTCCAGTGAACCACCAGAAAACCATAAGTGGCGCTGTGGCTCAAGTGGTAGAGCGCTCGCCTTGAGCTGAAGAGCTGAGGGACAGCGCCCAGCCCAGAGTTCAAGCCCCACGACCAACCTGGGGGGAAGAAAAGGCTAATGAGAGAGGCACTTGATTGAAACCCAGGCCCTGAGCTTAACCTGCGTCTGTGACCTGCAGAGCCTGTGAGCGTGGGGTGCTGGGCCCGTGCTCCAGGCTGGTCACTCGTGCTCCTGGAGCAGATGGAGGGCAGCTGCCAGCCTGGAGGCTGGGGGGTGAGCGGAGCCGTCTGAGCGGGGCTGGGGAGGCCAGGACCTCCCCACGCCTCCCTCAGCACCTCCCCGGCTGCCGGTGCGGGAGGCCAGAGGCGGCGGCAGGGAGTGGGGACATGCCGTGTGCCAATCAGGACACTCGGGGTGGACCCCATCCTGGGTCAGCCCTCAGGGCTCCCTGCGTGCCCTCCGGAGCGCCCAGCCGGCCCTCGGGGCCGCAGCCTCTGCCGTTCCCTTGTGGCTGGGCCTGGCCCCAGCATCCAGAATCCTCAGCACCGAGTGAAGGAAGCCAGCCCAGCGAGATCAGCCCGGGCTGAGGAGCCGGTGCGGTGTGGGCAGGTCCTCAGCGCTGGGGTCCGGCGCTCCCGTGCATTGTGTGGGGGCCTGGAGGCTTCGGGTGGAGGCGGCCTCGGTCTCAGGCCCCTCTCCGGCGTCACCATTTCAGACCCTCTGGTTTGACCTGGAGCAGCGCCTCTCCGATGACGAAGGCACCAACATGGTAAGGCCGGTCCCTGGGCCCCGTCCCGGACCCTGAGCCTGGACTCTCGGGATCTGAGCGTTCAATGCCCACCACCCCCTTCACGAGACCCCAGAAGGGGCACTGGGCCCAGGGGTGAGAGGCTCCAGGACTTGGGGGATAGGGCTGGGCAAGGCCAGGCTGGTGGGTCCCACTGGGAGCTGGGGCCCTGTAGCCTCTCCATGTAGCCCTGTCTGGGGCTTGGTGGGCAGTGCTGTGGCCATTGCCCGTCAGAAATGGAGTCCTCCTTGGTCAGTTCTCACGTGTGAGGATGAAAAGAATGGGGGGCAGACATTTCGGGTTTACTTTGACCACAGTGTCTTGGACCCCCTGAAGTGAGATCCTGGGGGGCTGGACGAGGGCTAGGCCCACAGGTGCCCGCCCTCACCGCCATGCTGACCACACAGCACCTGCAGCTGGTCCGGCAGGAGATGGTGGTGTGCCCTGAGCAGCTGAGCAGCTTCCTGGACTCCCTGCGCCAGTACCTGAGGGGCACCGCAGGAGCAGGGAGCTGCTTCCAGTGAGTGAGCAGGGGGCGGGGCTTCCTTGAGGGGCGTGACTTCCACTGAGTGATCAGGGGCGGGGCTTCCATGAGGGGCGTGACTTCCAGTGAGTGAGGGGAGGGGGAGGTGTGAGGCTTCCAGGGGTGGGGTTCCATGTGAGTGGGTGTGGCTTCCAGCGAGTGGGTAAGGAAGGGGTGGGTGCGGGGCTCAGGACCATGGGGAGCAACAGTAACCAGCTGAGCTCAATTGCTCGTGATGACCTTTGCCAGTTGCTGGCGAAAGGCCAGAGCAGCGGCGGCAGCGCCTGCCTCAGCCTGCACTGGGCAGCAGGTGCCCGTCCCCTTCCTGTTCCCTCCCCATCCCTCATTGAGTTAGGAGCCCCAGCTCCCCATGGAGTCTTAAATTGGGCATAATGAACTAATGATAGGATTAGTGGGCTCCATGCCCTGCGTGGTCCCTTGTGGCCCAGCCCTGCCCCTAATGGCCGGGCAGGCTCCAGGAGACTTTGAATACAGCAGCGAGGAGGAGAGCCGCGGCAGTGTGCTTGGACGGAAAGGCGGAAGTTGTTTTTAATGACTGAAATCTTCAGCATCATCTCTCATTCCAACCTGAGCCCCACGAGCATCAGGGCCTCAGCCTTGGGCCAGGAGCTGCTCCCGGGGCTCCTGTCCCTCCCTCTAGTCAGAAAAGCCGCGGCTGGAGGCCTCCTGCTGCCCTCCCAGGAGGCCTTAGAGTTCTTAGGTGGGGGGAGGGGACTGGAGAGCGGTGGGGTGCGGCTGTGGTCTGAGGGCCGCCAAGGGCCTGGGCCGGGCAGCCTCCCTGGACCAGGCCTCCGCTTCCACCCCTGCAGCATCGCCGCCGTGAAGCTGTCGGACGGCTTCACCTTTGTCATCTACGAGTTCTGGGAGACGGACGAGGAGTGGAAGAGGTGAGTGAGCCAAGACCCCCCTGTACCCTGGTTAGGGAGGGTAGGAACGAGTCTGGCACCCAGGTTACAAAACCCTCACCCACCTGGAAAGCTGGCCGGCCTGGGCCTCTCCAGCAGCAGCAGGCTCTCGAGCATCTTGGCCCACGCCAGCCCCCCGGGGCGCCGAGGTCCCACAGCGGTGGGGCGTGAGCAGCGCGGCTCCAAGATGAGAGTCACTGAGGCGCCAGCCCCGTCCCTCCTCCCGAGCTCTTCATCCCGCCGTGGAGGGCTGGCTCGGCCTTGAGCACCTTCAGCCTGCCACCCTGAGGGCAGCCATGCCAGGGTGGGCCAGTGCCGGGCAGAAAGCCACGGTGCTTGGTGGGCAGCCTCCCTGTGCAAAGGTGTCCCCTGCTCACCAAGCACCCCTGACCCCCCCTGTGTGGGCACAGGTGCTGTGTCCCCTCCCCACCTCCCATGGACATTCCCTGTTGGCTGCAGCCCCCAGCGAAGGGCTCGGGGCCTCCTCCTGGTGCTCACGCCCGTGGTGAGGTCCTCATCTGAACTGACCCCCGAGGGGACGAGCTGGAGGGGTGGCCCTGCCTGGCTAACGGTCTGCTCCACGCCGCAGGCACCTGCAGAGCCCGGTGTGCAAGGCGTTCCGGCACGTCAAGGTGGACACGCTGAGCCAGCCTGAGGCCCTCTCCCGGATCTCTGTGCCAGGTACAGATGCCCACAGGCAGCCCTGCAGGGACGACCCATCCGCTGGGCGCCCGGTGAGAACCTTTGCCCAACAGAGGGGCAGAGGAGCCCACGAGCGCCCTCCACAGACTGGACCCGGGCAGGGGAGAGCTGAGCTCACCGGACGGGGGTGCGCCTGGACACCTGGCTGGGCAGTGGGCAGCTTTGCCTGGTCCAGAAGGCCCCGCCTCCCCAGTCCTGGTGCATGCGGAGCTGAGGGGGGGGGGCATGGGGAGGAGGAGCAGGCCTGCCGCCCTCCCTGGAGCCCCAGGAGAAGGGCCTGCTCATTGCCCACCCTCTTGTGGGTTCCTCCCTCTCTCCTCTAGCTGCCTGGTGCACCGTGGGCCGGGATTGACCCCTTCCTGTGACCGGAGACCGCCCGCTCTTTTCTAGCAACTTTGGTACACAGCAGTCTTTTTGGCACACCCCCCCCCCTGAGCGGCAGCCCCTCCCCCTCAGCAGAGCATCCTCGGCTGCTGGGGTCCTGGGGTCCAGCGGAGGCCAATCAGGGAGGGGAGGCCTGCAGGACGCACCCCTCCCCCTGGCTCTCAGCAGGACCCATCCCCCCAGGCAGGCTGCTTCTCCCCTCCCCCTCGCTGACCGTCCACGAACCTGGTAGGCGTGTGACCCCCTAGTGCCCGGCCTAGGCCTGGGCCGGGCCTGTAGGTGCCAGTAGAGCCCCTCGCCAGTGGTGTGCTAGGCAGAGGCACCCAATAATAAAGTCTGGTTGGGATAGTGTGTGCTGTGTTTCTGTCCCCAACCCAGCCTCACGTCCTCATGTCCCCATTCTTAGTTTTGACTCGGGGGAAGGGAGGGAGTGCAGAGATCCGGCCACCTCCCTCTCATCACCAGGCCTGGCGTGCAGAAGAGGTTTGCTGCAGGGGCAGAGGCTTGGTGGGCAGAGCCAGGCTGGGGGGGGGGTCAGGGTTGGGCCCCCCGCCGGGCCAAGCCCCTGCAGGGACTGACAGGAAGCCCCCTCCCCTGCACGGAACCACCAGAGTCTTTGAGCCCGTCGTGGCTGAGTATTAATAATCAATGAAAGGCGACCTTCCCCTGCCTGGCCAGGAGGGCCCCCGCCATCACAGCCAAGGCCCCTGCCCAGGATGGCACTTGGCCATGGGACGGGTGTGGCCGCCATGGTGTGCCTGTCAGAGGATTGGAGCCGTCCTGCGCCCTCTCAGGGTCGCACTCGGGCACCCTGGGCCACGCCTGGCCGCAGGCACCTCCGCGTGGGGTGCGGTGGGGAAGGAAGTGCACAGGAGCTCGGCCCGTCCACCCAGCCTGGCTGTCCGCCGTCCACCTCTGGACACAATGAGCAGGTCATCGGGACCCGAGGCCAGGTGTGGGGAGTGGCCGCTGGTGGGTTCTTCTGGGGATGGGAACAGGACAGTACGCGGGAGGCCGCCAGGGGTGGGAGAGCCATCCGTGCAGAAGAGCTGAGAGACACCCACCAGGTACAGTCCCAGATGTGCCCGGCTCCCCACCCATCCCGCGGAAGAGTCCGGAATGCCAGCCCCTCCCCCACCCCGTGCCAGGCACCATCTTCTGCCCACCTGTGGCCCAGGCGGCTCCCGCTCAGCTTACGGCGTTTGGACGGGAGCACAGAGCCCAGTGCGTCTGGGCAAATGAGGAGGCCAAGCAGGGGGAGCAGGGCTTTCCTGGTCCTGGGGTCCGGGGTACACCTGAGGGGCAGCCAGCTCCGGGGTGCGTCCTGCTCGCAGCGAAGGCTCCCGGTCCTGTGCTTTGCTCAGAGCCTGGCTTGCGTCCACCGCACCCCAAAAGCCCTGGGCTCAACACCCCAAAGCAGGGCTCTTGGGCCTCAGTCCCTGCTTCCTTACTCAGCGTATGCCGCAAAAGCTAATCTGGGGTCCTAACCTGGGAGCCCCGCAAAGGTGACCTTAGGAACTGGGCGGCGCACACCCTCGCTGGGTAATGAAGACGAGATGCAATGGAGTTCAGGAAACACGCTCGGTAATTCAGGAGGAGCCGGAGGGAGGACCGGCGTCAGAGGACAGGGAGACGTTTGGGGGAAGCAGCCGCGTGCCAAGGAGAGCGGGCACGGAGGGCTGCATCTGCAGAGCAGGGAGCCCAGGGGCTCCAAGGGGAGCAGGAGGGGGCGGGGGAAGGAGGCTCCGGAAGCCCCAACCAGCCACCTGGCTGGGACCGCGGCTACAGGGGTGCGGAGCCGCACGCTTCCACGTGCAAGCACCAGCTGTGCCCACGTGCCGCGGCCACCGCCGGGGCCTGCGCCACCCTTCCTCCCGTCACGCCGGAGCCCCGCGGTGACTCAGTATCTCCGGGAAGAAGGAAGCCACGTCGGTCTCACGACTGCCCCGGAAGCCACAGGGACCGGCCACAGGCCCCCCTAGAAGAGCTCCAAGACGGCCACGGCCGTGCTGTGCCCGAAGATGAAGGTGCCGAGCAGCACGGAGAGCGCCCCCCACAGCTCCAGGCAGCACCTGCCGAGGGACACCCCGTCAGCGCCAGCTCCACGCGCCGCACCCACAGGCCCGTGCGCACGGACGCGCGTGAGCCGAGGCCGAGCATTCTCATCACCTCGACCCGAGACTCGCCTCATAGCTTTGTTCCCTCATCCCAGTGTTTCACCAAAGAAATGCAGGAGGGACAACTTTTAGCCCCGCTTGCGCTCCACTCTGCACCCACTGATTTGCCCTCCCCCAGGTCCAGGGAGGCGGGGGGGGGGGGGGAGGCTCACCCACAAACTTCCCAGTGAGGCCACAGTGTCTGTGTGTCTGTGGCCAGGAAGAGCTGGAAGATGGCAGCAAATGGCCAGACCGCCAGAGACTCTGGCCCCTTCAGGGAGGCTGGAAGGGACCCCTGCCACAGAGGGAGCCTCCTCGGCCGCTCAGGGTCGGGGCGGGGCGTGGGGGAAGGGAGAGGCTGGGGCGGGAGTGACTGGCTGCAGCACTGCCTGCCGGTCCCTGACAGACTGGACGACCACAGCCACCAGAAGAAGAACATCATGGAGAAAGCGCCTCCATTAAGGACTGCTGAGCTTGCGGCTGGGAAGGTGGCTCAGTGGTAGAGCGCGTGCCTTGCATGCCTGAGGCCCTGGGTTCCATTCCTCAGCACCACATAAGCAGAAAAAGCTGGAAGTGGCGCTGTGGCTCCAGTGGTAGAGTGCTCCCCTTGAGCTGAAGAGCTGAGGGACAGCGCCCAGGCCCAGAGTTCAGGCCCCATGACTGGCACAAAACAAAAAACAAAACAAAAATAACAACAAAAAAGAACTGCTGAGCTTGGACCACGGGAGACAGAGCAGCGGCTCCCACAGAGTGCTGCAGGGCACAGGCTATTCGGGGGGGCCCTGCAGGGCACAGGCTATTCGGGGGGGCCCTGCAGGGCACAGGCTATTCGGGGGGGCACTGCAGGGCACAGGCTATTTGGGGGACTCTGCGGGGCACGGGCTATTCAGGGGCACTGTGGGGCACGGGCTATTCGGGGGGCACTGCGGGGCACGGGCTATTCAGGAGGCTCTGCGGGGCACGGGGGCACTGCGGGCACGGGCTATTTGGGGGACTCTGCGGGGCACGGGGGCACTGCGGGCACGGGCTATTCGGGGGGCACTGCGGGGCACGGGCTATTCGGGGGACTCTGCAGGGCACGGGGGCACTGCGGGCACGGGCTATTCAGGAGGCTCTGCAGGGCACGGGGGCACTGCGGGCACGGGCTATTCAGGAGGCTCTGCGGGGCACGGGGGCACTGCGGGCACGGGCTATTTGGGGGACTCTGCGGGGCACGGGGGCACTGCGGGCACGGGCTATTCGGGGGGCACTGCGGGGCACGGGCTATTCGGGGGACTCTGCGGGGCACGGGGGCACTGCGGGCATGGGCTATTCGGGGGACTCTGCGGGGCACAGGGGCACTGCGGGCACGGGCTATTCGGGGGACTCTGCAGGGCACGGGGGCACTGCGGGCACGGGCTATTCAGGAGGCTCTGCGGGGCACGGGCTGTTCACGGGGCACTGCAGGGCACGGGCTATTCGGGGGGCCAGATGGCCAGGGCCAGCCGCAGCCCTGAGTGGGGCTTAAAGATGCCCAGAGCAACTCTCATGAGTGCAGACGTGGCCAGGCCACACCTGCGGCTGGAGCAGAGCCAGCTCGGGCTCATGGATCCGGAGGACGGGGCCACACTCCAGGCCCCATCCACCGCGTCCCCCTGGGGCCTGTGTGACCCGACTTGGAAATGAGTCACTCAAATGCAATGATGTGAAAGAGGCCACCTGGTGCAGCATGGGCCCTTCTTCTAGAAGGATCTTTGAGAGCCAGAGACCAGAGAGGAACCACACAGAGATGGCAAGGGCAGGTGTGACGCAGCCACAAGCCGAGGGACACCTGGAGAGCTGTGCACAGCACGGCCTGCCCGCCGCCTCACGCTGTGTGTGTGTGCGTGTGTGAGTGTGTGTGTGAGTGTGTGTGAGTGTGTGTGTGAGTGTGTGTGTGTGAGTGTGTGTGAGAGTGTGTGTGTGTGTGTGTGAGTGTGTGTGTGTGTGTGCGAGTGTGTGTGTGTATGTGTGAGTGTGTGTGTGTATGAGTGTGTGTGTGAGTGTGTGTGAGTGTGTGTGTGTGTATGAGTATGTGTGTGTGTGTGTGTGTGTGTATGAGAGTGTGTGTGTGTGTGTGTGTGAGTGTGTGTGTGTGTATGAGTATGTGTGTGTGAGTGTGTGTGTGTGTATGAGTATGTGTGTGTGTGTGTGTGTGTGTATGAGAGTGTGTGTGTGTGTGTGTGTGAGTGTGTGTGTGTGTATGAGTATGTGTGTGTGAGTGTGTGTATGAGTGTGTGTGTGTATGAGAGTGTGTGTGTGTGTGTGAGTGTGTGTGTGTGTATGAGTATGTGTGTGTGAGTGTGTGTATGAGAGTGTGTGTGTGTGTATGAGTGTGTGTGTGTATGTGTGTGTGTGTGTGTATGTGTGTGTGTGTGAGTGTGTGTGTATGAGTGTGTGTATGTGTGTGTGTGTGTGTGAGTGTGTGTGTGTGTGCGCGCGCGCACGCTCATTGGCCATCTGCGGTCACTACAGCAGCTGAGAGCCAGCACAGGGCCTGCCTGTCTCCCCTCCGCGTGGACATCTGCGCAGCGGGAATCAGGTTCCCACGGGTCCGGACCCAGAGGGCCAGGACCAGCCCTGGCCGTGTCCGGCTGCAAAGCCAGCTTCCTGACTCCTCCTCCTCTGCAGGGTGGAGGCCCTGCCCTGCCCCCCATCAGGACCTGCTGCCCGGCAACACACAGCCACCAGGCCCCTGTGAGACAGGACGGGCCGCGCCCCATCCTGCCCTGGGGCTAAGCGGTGAGGGGCGGAGAAGGTGACCCCGCTGCGCCCTCCCACAGACCCCTGACGGCTGAGGGACAGGCGCTGGGCCTCGCCACCCAGCGGGCCGCGGCACACCGGGGCCTTTGGAATGTGGGTGGGGAGGATGGGCGGCACCCCGGCCACGCCCCCGGGGGCCACTCACTGGACTCCTGGTCCCACAGGCTCCACGTCCGCCGCACGGATGAGACACAGACCTGTGGGGGAGACACGGGTCGCCCGATGCCCCTTGTCAGACCCAAGAGCTGCGGTCCGGGGTCCCCGGGACCTGCGAGGGCTGTCCCCACAGGTGGCCCTGGCTCAGGGCCTGCTGAGCGTTCAGGGGTGAGGACCCCAGCTCAGCACCCCAAAACAACCCAGCCAGGAGGCTGGTAAGGACATGCACTCGGGCAACGCAGCCTCTGGGCAGCCTGTGAGGAGATGGGGCGCATCAGACCCTGCACCCCCACCCCAGGTCACTCCCTGTGCCCCTCCTCAGCACCCCCACTCCCCACACCCTGCGCCGTCCACAGCGCAGCCCGACCTGTGGGCGGGGGGACCCCACAGCAGAGGCCACCCAGGAGTCTCAGCCTCCCACGAACCTGGCGTTCCCACGCCCTGGGTCTCAGCCCCTGGCCCTCGATTCCACCATTTCCCGAGGCTAGAGGCTACCGACACGGCCGGCCCCACTGCTCACCCGGGGGCCCCGGCCCTGCTTCCTCTGAACCCCAAGAACCCGCAGCTTTTGCAGACACAGAACCCCTCTGTGACCTGCAGTGCCCTGTGGCTGTAGCCATTCAGGTTTCCTGGCTGTGGCTACCCTTGTGGGACTAGAACCTTCCGGAACCTCGACCTCTCACAGGGAGTCTGCGCAGAGACGGGCTGGCGGGGAGGACAAACACCCACCCGGGAAGATGAAGATGAAGAAGGCGCTGACGCCCCCGACGGCGCGGGTGATCTGGCTGAGGTCGGGCAGCGCCAGGGCCAGGCCCAGCGTCGCGGCCCCCCACACGACAGTCAGCGGCAGCCGCACCCACGGCCCCGAGGGGTCGGCCAGCGCCCGGGGACCCTGCGCGCCCCAGCTCCTCTTCCAGAAGTCCTGCAGCACGGACCTGCAGCGTGCAGACACATTCTCCCCTCCACAGCTGGCCGGGGTCCCCGCGCCCCGGACCAGGCGTCCCTGCCGCTCCCCCCACCCCGCCCCCCCGACCCGCCCAGCCTCACCTCCCCAGGAAGAGCACGATGGGGTAGACCGTCACAATGGAGACCGCGAAGAGCACACGGGCCACGAGGACAGCCACGTCGTCCTCAGGGTAGGACATCAAGATGTCCGAGGACACCTCTGTCCCGAAGGTCAGGAAGCCGTAAACCCCTGCAGGAGAGCCAGGGCGCCGGGTGCTGAGATTAGAAAAGTGCCTCCTCTTCCCAGCACCTCAAGGTGCTCATGGTGGAAGGTTCTAGAAGGTTCTGTTCTGCTCTTTCCCAAGGCTGCCCAGTTGGAGGACTGGACTACAGACCTGTCCCTGCCAAGGTCTGGAGGTGGAGGAAAGAAAAGGTGCCAGCCCCGAGAGCAGACACCTGTCGGGGTGGGCCCCAAACCTGGGTCTGTGCGGTGGATGTGCTGTGCAGCCTCGGGCATGTCAGAGCCCTCTCTGGGCTGCACTTCCATCCTTGCCTGTCACCGTGGGAGCGCATGTCCCTCTCCCGCCTCCTCTCTGAACGGGCAGGCGCTTGGGAGGCTGGCGGAGCAGAGGCAGGGGCTCAGCCCTGAACGCGTAGTGCAAAGCCAACCTGGGCCTCCGCTGTCCCATCTATGAAATGGGCGCTAAGGGTTCAACGAGCCCAGGAGGCAAAGGGCCAGGCTGGACCCGCGGCAGGCTCTAGATCCCCGGCCCGCTCCTCTGCCCTCTGCCCTCTGCCCCCCGACCCCGCAGGCCCACCTGTCAGCGAGTAGACCACACAGCAGGCCAGCAGGGACAGCACGGAGAGCAGGACCCAGTGGCAGAGGCTCTGCCGACGCATGCTGCGGTAGATGGACACGGCTGCCTCGTGGCACTGGAGGGCAGAGGCGGGCTCAGGGAGGGGGCCGTGGGGAGGGGCACCCCCACAGCACGGGGAAAGACCAGATGAGAACCGCAGACCTCGGAGCAGAAGACATTCCCAGAGGCACTGGGAGCTCAAACGGTCCTGAGGTTCAAGTCCCGGGCAGGGGTCCCGGGATTTCTGGGCCAACATGTTGGGAGGGAGCGGGTTCCGGGGGGAGGGCTGCCTGGGGCACCTCCCGCCTCCAGCTTGCCCTTCTGCCCCCCATTTATGACCACTGGAACTGTCTCAAATGCCCCAGGGGACCCGCCACCCCAGTGGGACCCGGGTGGTGCAGTGTAGAGAGCGGGGAGGGTCTGGGAAGGGTGGGGAGGGTCTGGGAAGGGTGGGGAGGGTCTGGGAGGGTGGGTGTGGTCTAGCAGGGTGGGGAGGGGTTTGGGAGGGGTGAGGAGGGTCTGGGAGGGTGGGGAGGGTCTGGGAAGGGTGGGGTGTGGTCTAGCAGGGTGGGGAGGGGTCTGGGAGGGGTCTGGAAGGGGTCTTGGAAGGGTGGGGAGGGGTCTGGGAGGGTGGGGAGGATCTGGGAGGGTGGGGTGTGGTCTAGCAGGGTGAGGAGGGGTCTGGGAGGGTGAGGAGGTCTGGGAGGGTGGGGTGTGGTCTAGCAGGGTGAGGAGGGGTCTGGAAGGGGTCTGGGAGGGGTGGGGAGGTCTGGGAGGGTGGGGAGGGTCTGGGAGGGTAGGTGTGGTCTAGCAGGGTGGGGAGGGGTCTGGGAGGGGTCTGGGAGGGGTGGGGAGGTCTGGGAGGGTGGGGAGGGTCTGGGAGGGTAGGTGTGGTCTAGCAGGGTGGGGAGGGGTCTGGGAGGGGTCTGGGAGGGGTGGGGAGGGGCCTGGGAGGGGTGGGGAGGGTCTGGGAGGGGTGGGGAGGGTCTGGGAGGGGTGGGGAGGGGTCTGGGAGGGTGGCGACGCCTGGCAGGGACTGTCAAGGTCTGTGGAGTTACATGGAACATCGAATGCAGACTCTCACAGGGAATGGACGCAGCCAATGCAGATCGCGTTTCTCACCCCAGGGTGGGCCGTGGCGTGTTCTGTGACCGAGGGGCTGGGAGGAGAGTCCCCCCTACACAGCCCTGGGTCTGACCCTTCCCGGTCCCCACCACTATGCTGTCTCTCAGCATGGGGTGCCTCCTCCCCCATGTCTCTCCCTGAACTTAGACTGCCTGTACCCTGATCGGTGGCCCCAGGGCCTTTGACCGAGCTGTTTCCTGGGGCTCCCCTTCTACCAGCCCCTACTCATGCTGAGGGGAGCAATCTCCTCTCATGGGGTTCCATGAATTCAGCTCTGCCTTGTCCGGGTCTGCCTTGCTCAGGGCTCTAGCTCAGGACAAGCGCAGCCCAGCCCAGCTGACCACCATTCTGGGGTCACCCATGAACACCCCCTCAAGTCCACTAGTGGCAGAGGCCTGGGTCCCACCCCACTTTAATGCCAGGCCTACGTGGTGGAAGGTGGGCTGCTGTGCCCGCCAGGCACAGACGTATCTGAGCCCATTTGGGGAAGGCAGATTGGGCACCTGGGCTTTCCGCTCTGGGCGTCTCTGGGGCCACGGGAGAGCTTGGGCAGGCAGTGGGGGTCATCCTGGCCTCCCGTGAGCGGCATGGCACCCCATGGGTAAGTTGCCAGAAAAGCAGAAGTGGCGCTATGGTTCCAAGTGGTAGAGCACTCACCTTGAGTGTAAAAGCTCAGGGACAGAGCCCAGGCCCTGAGTTCAAGCCTCATAACCGACCAAAAGAATACAAATAAATAAATGCAAATAAAAACGAAAACTAGCGGGGTGCTAGTAGCTTACGCCTGGAATCCTAGCTACATGGGAGACCGAGGTGGGGAGAATTATGGTTTGAGGCCAGCCCAGACACACACAAAGACCCTATCTCAAGCACCAGCTGGGGAGAGTGGCATGCAGCCATCATTCCAGCTACACGTGAGGCTGAGATTAGAAGGATCATGGTTCCAGCCAAACCTGAGCCAAAGGTTCACAGGGGATCTCCATCTCAGTGGAAGAAGCTGGGCATAGTGACCGGTACCTGTCATCCCAACTACGAATGGACACGTAAAATAGGTGGATCACAGTCCAGGCATGAGCCCAGGCGGGAAGTGAGACCTGACCTCAAAGTCAGCAGCACAACAGAAGAGCCAAGGCCTGGCTCAGACCCTTCTCTGCCTCTTCCAGAGCCATCTACAGAACTGGTCTCAGCCATTCTGTGACTCACCTGTGCTTTGTTCTCTACCGGAAGGGCCTGCCTAGCAAATGAGAGGCCCTGAGTTCAAACATCAGTACCACCACCAATAATAATAATAAGCAGGTTGCTGGTGGCTCACTCCTGTCATCCTAGCTACTCAGGAGGCTGAGATCTGAGGATCACGTTCAGAACCAGCCCAGGCAGGAAGGCCCGTGAGACTCTTATCTCCAATAAACCACCAGAAAACTGGAAGTGGCGCTTTGGCTCAAACAGTAGAGCTCTCGCCTTGTGCTGAAGAGCTGAGGGACAGCACCCAGGCCCAGAGTTCAAGCCCTACAACTGACCAAAATAATCATAAGAATAATTATTATTATTATAACCACAGATTTCAGAAGTTCCAGAAGCCGGTGCGGCCAGAACAGACCTTGGAGCCGTCTGCTCCTCCTGGCCTGGCCTGGCCTGGCGTGCGCACTCACGTTTGGGGGAGAGAGGACACCTAGGAACCAGGCCAGGATCCTGATCAGCACGGCCACCTCCATCCAGCCTCAGACCTACCCCTGACCCCTGGCTCTCCAAGGCAGAGCCTGCCACCTTGCCCTGCCAGCTCTCCCTCCCAGCCCCTGGCGCAGCAGCCTGTGTCCCTGGAAACCACAGCAGCCTGGTTGCTAGGGGAAGCGAAGGGGAGCCGGGCAGAGGTGAGCGGCGAGCATCTGGTAGGCCGCGCCGGCTTCCGCACCATGTGCTCGGGCCAGGAGAGGGGCAGTTATGCTAAATCCAGATGACAGCTGACGGCTAACACCGGGCTGTGCAGCTTTCAAAATATTGCGTGTGCAGAAGAAATGTGAGAAAGTCACGTGGGCTTGGTGGAGCCCCAGAAACCACACTGTTAAAAGGAAGAGAAATCAGAAATGTTTCCGAGTTTCTTTTCCTCCAAAATGGTTCTCACAAACACAAGAGGAAGAAAGAGGAGGCAGCTGGCACACGAGGGACCAGGACGCCAGGGCTGCAAAGCGGCACTGCTGGAGGAGCTGATGGGCCCCACTCCTCCTTGGGTGTGGAGGTGCTGGTGGAGGGCAGGGTTTTCAGAGACGGAGGCTACCTTCCTCCAGTGAGCTGCGGCAGGTGGCTTTAGCTGCCCCTGGCTCTCCGAGCTGCCTGTGGCTTCACCTGGTCCCAGGTGGGCCTCCTGGGCTTCGCTCTGGACCTGCAGGCCTCCCTCCCCAGGCTGCCTCCATCTCCCGCCAGACTCCCTCTCAGCAGCACCGCCTGCAGCGGTGTCTGTGAATGCCCCTCGCCTGCTTCCCGTGGTCCTCATGCCTGTGACATTCAAGAATCCTGCCCTGAGCTCACTCCTGTCATCCTAGCTACTCAGGAGCCTGAGATCTGAACATCAAGGCTCAAAGCCAGCCTGGGCGTGAGACTCTTATCTCCAGTAAACCACTCACAAAATCGGGAAGTGGGAAGTTGGGCAGTGGCTCAAGTGGTAAAGCACTTGCCTAGAGCTGAAAAGCTGAGGGACAGCGCCCAGGCCCAGCGTTCAAGCCCCAAGACCACCAACAAAAAAAGAATCCTGCCCCGCCCCGCAGCCTCCGGGTCTCTCCAGCCCTGTGGCCTGAGGTGGAATCGACCGGCATCCAGGCTCTGTGGGCAGCCATGGGCAGCCCTGGGTCTGCAGCGCGGCCACAGTCCTAGGAGCATCTGCCAAGAGGCTCTGGTCCCGGTCCCCATGCTCAGTCCCCAGCCAGCAAGTGCAGGGCTGCAGATGCGGACACCACAGGTGGGGGACAGTTCCCAGTTTCAGTGACAACTCGTGCCTCCTAGAGAGCCCAGACGCTCTGTGCGCAGTCTCCAGCTGACAGCTGCTGGAAGCCATTAAGCGCTAAGTCCTCAAATGTCCCCCTCCCTCCCCCAAACGGGGAGCCACACGGTCCCTAGGGATCAGGGAGCCTCTGGAAATACCACAGTGGACGCTTACCTGAAACCCGAAGCAGATGGTGGGAAAGACACTGAGCGCAGAGGCCCAGGAGACGGGGCTGTGGGGAGACAAGAACAGGGAGTGTGGGGGTCTGAATCAGCCTGAACTGGCTCTGCGGGTGCTCTGCCGCTTGTGCCACGCCCCCAGTCTCCCACTTTAGCTATCTTTCAGATAGGGCCTTGCTCTTTCTCGCTCAAGCTGTCCTCAGACGGCGATCCTCCCACCCCTGCTCCTGTCTTCCTGCCTCCACAGGAGCACGCCGCCACCCCCAGGGCACTTATGGAGAGCAGTTTGCTAACTTCTTGCAAGGGTTGTTCTTGAACTGTTATCTTTCTAATCTCGACACCCCGGCTGAGAGGATGAATTTAAAGAAGAGCAGAAACACATGACCACGTGGGCCGTAGGTGTGTTTGCAGTGTTTATGGCCAGCTTTGGGGATGGAAAGGAGGTTTATTAAATGTTGCACTTGCTAAATCTGGCTCTGCTGACATTTGGCAAGATGACATTCTCCACGTGGGCAGGACTCAGGCAAGGCAGCCGCTAGGGGAGCTGCCTCCCCCCCCCTCGTGTGCGCACACACACACACACTCACACACACACACAACTGCCTCCTTCCCAGGCCAGCCACCTCCATCAGCGCGCCTCCCACAGCCCAGGCCGCTTTGTTCTCATCCAAACTACTAAGAGGACGAGGTATGCAAGGGCACAACTCTCACGCCCTCTGTGGGGTCTTTGCCTGGTGGGTCTGGTCCCTTTGTCAGGCAGCCCCCCCTGCCTGCCTCCGGCATGCTCAGAGGACATGCTACAGAAGGGTCAGGAGCAGCACCCCCTCTGCCTGGTCCTGTTTCTGTCTAGCTGCCTGTCAGTCTGTCTCTCTGCCTGCCTGCCTGCATGTCTGTCTCTGTCTCTCTATCTGTCTCTGTCTCTTTCTGTCTCTCTGTCCCTGTCCCTGTCTCTGTCTCTGTCTCTCTGTCTTTCTCTGTGCAGGTATGCAGGAGAGTTGTATTGGGGTAGCCAAGATTACAGGAATGAGTTACCATGCCCATCTGGTCCCATTTCTTCCCCTGACCCCCACAGAACATAGTCAGGTGATCTCTTTCGGAGAAAATCAGGTCACACCTCGTGCTTCAACAGAGCTCCAATCCCTGTCCCGGCTCCAGGTCTCTCCGCGACACCCTACCCCGCTTGCTGCCTGGCGCGGCTCCCTCTGTCCCTAGAAGCTGTCTCTGCTGCCTCTGCCTGAACCTAGAAGCCTGCCCCAGCTGGGGTAGCCTTCAGTGCCTTCGTGCACAACTAGGTCTGGTCCTTTATTTCTTGTTTCTTTTTCTTTTTGTGCCAGTCTAGGGCTTGACCTCAGGGCCTGGGCACTGTCCCTGAGCTTTTTTGCTCAAGGCTAGCACTCTATCACTGGAGCCACAGCTCCACGTCTGACTTTTTGCTGGCTTATTCGAGTCTCATGGACTATCCTGCCTGAACTGGCTTTGGCCCCTGATCTGATCTGATCTCAGCCTCGTGAGTAGCTAGGATGACAGGTGTGAGCTGCTGTGCCTGGCTAACGACGTGTGCTTTGGCAGAGAAGCCATCGGGGCCTCACACAAGGGGCCCAGGCTCTGCGGTGGACCTGGGCCCGCTTCTCCCCCAGGAAGCCGGGAAAGCCATTCTCACAAACTCACCTTGGCAAAGGCGGAGGCTCCCGCAGCAGCCCCGGAGGCCGAAGGTAGTACTGCATCATGACGACCAGAGCCAGGTAGCAGGCAGCCAAGGTGCCCAGGATGCTGCCGTGGAGAGGGGCAGTGTCAGCGGCCACTCAGCCGCACCCTGCCAGAGGCGTGGGCAGCCCCGTACCTGGTGTACTTCTGGAAAGCGATCTCCCTGGGTGCCGACAGGGGCAGGATGACCAGCACGGACAGCAGGGGCAGCGTGAAGCGCTGGGTAGCGTACCAGGGCTGGGGGTCCCCGAGCAGGAGGGAGTCACACACTGACGGGGACAGGGGCGGGCGCTGAGGCAGCAAGCACAGCGCGGCCACGCAGGACAGGCACGGGGGCCTCAGGAAGGAAGGAGCCAGAACCTCCCAGAAATCCATTCCACGAGCACTCGGGAGCTCTGCCCAGGGCCCCATCCCTGCTCCTGTGGCATTCTCGCTGGCCACAGGCCCTTTCTGGCTTGCACAGGAGCTCCGCAGCTGTGTGGGCTGTGCACGCTGCCGGGGGCTTGGCCATCCTGAGGGAGCCACTTCGTGCCTCACTTCCGTTCTGCTGCTACGCAATAACCTGAATCGATGCTAAGGAAGAGCTAAACAATGCTGTTGCCCACCTTGGCCTAATGGAAGTTTCCAGCATCCTGCACCCACCAACATATAGAACATCCGTTTTCTTGACCCGTTGGACTGAGCGCAAGCTGGGACCAGGCCTCAACAATCTAAATCACCCCAAGGATGCTCTCTGCCCATGATACAATTGAGACAGAAACCAAGCAGGGGTCTGGAAAACTCCAGACTGAAATGAAATAATCCAAACATCTGACAAGTCAAGGAAGAAACAGTAAAAAAAAAAAAAAAAAAATCAGCAAAAAAACCCCAACCCCGGTTCCGGTGGCTCATGCCTGTAATCCTGGCTGAGATCTGAGGATCACGGTTCAAAGCTAGCCAAGAGCAGGAAGTCTTTGAGTCTCTTATCTCCACTAAATTACTCAGAAAAAGTTGCAAGTGGCGCTGTGGCTCAAGTGGTAGAGCACCAGCCTTGATCACAGAGAGGCTCAGGGACAGCGCCCAGGCCCTGAGTTCAAGCCCCAAGACCAGCAGAAAATAAAATTAAAAAAAATATACTTTGGCATAAAAGTGAAAAAAGAACACACTAGAACTGGTTAAGATGCAGCAAAAGCAGCACTTAGTGGAAGAGTCTCACTAGGAGGCGAGAAGCTGGGGTTGTGGGGGAGAGTTCCGGGGGTCTCCGTGAGGCATTCATGCCATGGCTTGTTTTCCCATCTGTAAAAGGGATTATGTCTTCGAGACACCCTAGCTTCAGCCACAGTTCCCTCGTGTGTGTCTACCTGTGATAATACACTCACTCTCCCTTCCCTGCCCTTTTGAGAGCGTGGCACGGCCATACCTCTGCTGTCCCCACCCCCGGGGGGCAGCCAGTGTCTACTGTCCCCACATCTACTGTCCACCTGCGGCCCAGCACAGTACTCACGCTTCTCTAGCTGGTCCCCGATCACCCTGAGGAAGGCCACGGAGATCATGAGCAGGTTGAGCAGGAAGCAGGCCTCACACAGCTTCCCCATGGCCGGGCCACACAGCCCGCGGACCACACCCTGGTAGGAGTCCTGGCCGCTGACGGAGGCTGCATAGCCCAGGATGGCCAGCCCACTGGTCAGGAAGACTAAGGAGACCTGGAAGAAGGACCGCAGGACTCCAGCCAGCCACCTCAGGGGGGTGGCATGCTGCACCGAGGCCTCATCCTCCGCAGAGACAGGCCAGGGCCCCGCCCTGCCCCGCCCCGCCCCACCCCGCCCTTCCAGTCTGCCAGCCTGTGTCTGCATCTGTGCTTCTAACACTGCTCAGCCTCAGCCGGACAGAGGAGACAGCAGAAAGCCAGGGGTGACATGGCTCTCCAGAGCTGGCTGGAGAGGCAGAGTGGGTGGTTAGGAACACAAGGCGGAGCAGGCCTGCCTGGGCCCCAAATCCGACTCTGCTGGTCACCTGCCGTGTGGTGTGAGGAAGACGGAGAGCCGCTGCGGTGCCAGCTGTGAAGTGGGAGCAGGCCTGGGATGCTGGTGATGCCTTCCGCTTGGTGACCTGCCCGGGGCTGGTGCTCGTCCTTCCCACCACCTCCCGCTGCCTCTACGTTAGCTCTGATGTTTTGTTCCCACATTTTCAGACATACAGGAGGGGTGCAGGCCACACAGCAGGCCATCTCTCCTGGGTCAAGGAGAAGCCCCGCCTCTGCCGTGTGGCCCCGCCCATAGAACCATGCCCATGCAAAGCCCCGCCCACCGAGCCCTAGACCCGGTTCCTTTGTTTACCCCTCCCACACCCAACCCAAGCCTGGCCACTATAGTGTGGCTGGGCCAGCCCAGCAGTGGTGTGTTGCGTTGGGTAGTGGTGATTTGTGCCAGCCCAGCAGCACCTCCAGTCCTCAGCGCTATGCTCCAGGAAGGCCGCAGGGTCTTTTCAAATTAGCATCTAGCCCTGGTGAGCTGCCCGGCACGTGGCACAGGGGGCACACAGCACAAGGCAGACATCTGCGGTTGAAGGGACAGGAGGGGAACAGAGGTGCCTCGGCCCACCAGTCCCTACTCCCAGAGCTGATGACCACAAAGTGACCACAGACACCCCATCTGCACCAGGCCAGCGGGAGAATGCTTGAGGTGGGTGCTCTAGAAGTCTGCAAAGCCGGCTTCTAGATCAGGCACCTTAGGCTGCCCAGGCACTACCCCGGATGGCCTCTGCCCACGGCCTCATTAGCAGAGAGGGGCCCGCCATCTTGCAGAACAAGACAGGGGATCCTACATGGGAAAGCCACAGCAGTGCCTGCCTGTCCCTGGAGGCCCGGGGACTTACCAGCACCACCAGGAAGGTGGGCAGCACGCCTCCCGCCTGGTGGAAGGCCCAGGGGAAGTTGAGCAGGCCAGCTCCCAGTGCGGACTTGATGAGAATGAAGACGGCGCCCAGCGAGGACAAGCTGGGGGTGGCAGCCGCAGGGTGAGGCTTCTCTGTTAGGCCTCTGTTCCCTTGGGTCTGCCCCTCCATGGCTGTCCTGACAAAGGACAGAGGCTAAGAGCCATCTTCACCCCTCTTCCTCCCCAGCTTCCAAGCCTAAGGACTCATCCCAAACTCTCCTCTCCTCAGACCCAACCCTCCCCGCCCCACCCCACCCCCTGCCAGACCCTCACCTCAGCCATAGCCTGAACATGACAGTTTCGTTTGCCCTGTGACTTCTGACCTCACCCCTTCTCCTCACCCTTCCCACTTTCTATCCCTTTTTCACTTCTGTGTGGGACTCCAAGGTGACCCTGACTCCTTCGTGTGGGCTGAACTCTGGGCCTGGGCGCTGACCCTCAGCTCTTCAGCTCAAGGCTAGTGCTCTACCACTTGAGCCATAGTGTCACTTCTGGCTTTTTCTGCTTATGTGGTGCTGAGGATTCGAACCCAGGGCCTCATGCATGCAAGGCAAGCGCTCTACCACTGAGCCACCTTCCCAGCCCCTTTCTTCCCTTGTTCAAACCACCAACCTCCTCCTAGGGAGCCTCAATCTCCCAACCTCCACCCACCCCTGCTTCTTAAGGTCCACACCCATCGTGCCCCCCAGGCCCTCCTTCTTACCCCCAAACCCCGACTCCAAGGTAGCAGACAGCCCTCGTCTGGGCCACAGCGCCAGGTGTCAGACTTCGTCCTGGTGCTTTGGCTGCAGTCTAGCTCTCAGGAGAGGCACTGATCAGCTGTTCATTAAGGGGGCCTGGAGGGCATGTGACGGGATCCGGCTTCAAAGCCTAGAAGGACAGGGACATAGGGGAGCAAGACCACCTATCCCAAGAGTGTCTAGCTCTGACTTCTGACCTGATCAGTGAGGCTCAAGACCTCCTACCACCCACCCAGGCCCCGCCCTGGGGTGGCGCCAGTCCAGCTGCCAGTTCAGGGGCTAAGCTCAGCTAGAAGCCCCTGGGGGCAGGCCCGCAACAGCCCCACCCTCCACAGGTCCGAGGGTCAGCTGCTGTGCCCTTGGCCTGCGGCCGGCCCAGCCCTCAGAAAGGCTGTGAGGTCCACAAGCACTCCCTCGGACATCCTCTCCCGTCCCTCCTCCTCCGGCTTCCAGGCAGACTGACCCTGGGCCAGCCGGGGCTGCCATTATCCAGTGTGTGCTTCCCTGTATCTCTGGGAACACAGGCATGTGTCACCGAGTCCAGCTATTGTGCTTCCCCTGTGGCTGGCATAATGGGTGCACGTGGCCCAGTGAGCCATGGAGTCTCTTGAACTTTTTTACCTGGGCTGGCTCCAGACGCACTCCCATGGAGAAATCTTGCCCTGGCAGGATGTTTACACCATGTCCTCCTTGGTTCCTCCGTGGGAAGATGGCCAGTGTGCGCTGAAGAGGGCGGTGAGGCCCGTGTAGCAGCCCAGGCTGGACAAGGGTCCGGACCACAGGTGGTGTTCACACAGACTGCTCCCTGCCCCTCCTCCAAAACCTGGCCTCCTGAGAAAGAAGATAAAGGGCCTTGCATCAGGTGGAGTCAGATGCTGCGGCCCGGGGTACAACCCCCCTCCCCAGCCACCCACCACGGTCCCTCGTTAGTTGCTCATTAATGTGCATGACTTGGAAATTGGCCGCTGGGCTGTGAAATCGCAAGCATCTGGAAGAAAATCTCTTAATTCGGAGGGGGTTTGGTATCCGCCCTCTGCTGGCATCCCAGGCGGCATGGCCTTTGCGAGCTGCGCAGGGGTGCCCTGCGGTTCCCATCCACCAGCACTGCCGGCCCCGGCCCTGGAGCAGAGGAGCACACCGCCGGCCTCTGCACAGGAGCACCCCCGGCTGGCAAGCATTCTCCCCTCTGTATTTGGAGCCAGCACTACTTGCTGGGTTGGCAGCTGTCCGCCAGGACTGCCCAAGGATCCTTCCTTTCTTCCCCATGGACCTGTGGCAGACACCAGGCTGGGCTCCTCATGGGAAAGTGGCCTCGGCTAGTTTCTCTGCGCTTACACCCATTAAGAAGTTATGATGAAGGCAGGTCTTGGGCCAGCAATGGTGTCTTGTCTTCCCCACACCCTTGGCTTCTTGGGGCAGAGGCTGGGGGCTGTAAGGACAGCACCCCTACAGCAGCTTCCACGGTCCTCCACAGGAAATGCACAAGGGCCCCAAGATGCCTGTATCTCAACCTGGGGCATCCGGGTGGGCCTTGAGAGTAAGTGCCCTTGTAACAGGATGTGAGGGGTCAGAGGTCGGCCAGGGATGGTGATGGTGATGGGAAGACAGGCGCAGAGGCTGGAGTGGAAGGTCTGGAAGACAGGATGGGGTGGAGAACGCGGGTGTGAGGCGGCCACCAGAGATGGGGAAGGCAGGGCCGACACAGCCGGGTGACAAACCTGCCACTCTCACCACTTTCCAGTGTGCATGAGTGGCTCTCAGTCACTCACAAGGCTGTGTAACTGTACACCAATTCCACACCATTTCCATCACCCCAGAAGAAAGCCTCTTCCCATGGGCCCTGGCAACCACTAATCTGCTTTGTCTCCAGGGATTTGTCTGTTTGGGACCTTTCATGTAAATGTGATCACACACACGTGCCCTTCCGTGCGTGCTGGGGCTTGGCGAGCCTCCCCGCTGCGTACCCTCGTTCCACCATCTGGGGGCTCTCCCCCCACTGCTCCTAGCGGGGCTGCGGGGCCTCTGGAAGCTTTTCAACTAGGGTCCCAGGTGGCGTGCTCTCGAGTGGCAGGAGGGGGGAGTGGAGGGCCAGGCCCGGGACTCTTTCTAGGATTGCTTCTATTTTTAAACATCCAAATTTTTAAGAATCTTAGTCATTGGGCTGGGAAGGTGGCTCAGGGGTAGAGCGCTTACCTTGCATGCATGAGGCCCTGGGTTCGATTCCTCAGTACCACATATGCAAAAAGAAAAAAGCCAGAAGTGGCGCTGTGGCTCAAGTGGTAGGGCGCTCGCCTTGAGCTGAAGAGCTGAGGGATGGCGCCCAGGCCCAGAGTTCAGGCCGCATGACTGGACCAAAAAAAAAAAAAATCTTAGTCTTTCTCTGAAATCTCCCATCTGATCTCTGGCAGCCATGTGAGAAACACTTGACGAATCTCCCTCCTCCCTTTTCCATCGGGCTCCCTCTACCTGTGGCACCCCTGTGCTCCCGCACTCAGGCCAGGCCAGCCCGTTTCTTTTAGGAGCCTGTGGCAGCCTTGCAGACTGGGCACCTGAACCCGCTGCCAGTCACGGCTCTGGGAGAGCTCGAGCTTTCTCTGCTGGGCTGGCTGGCCCTGGGGACTTCGCCTCAGTGGAGCTCCCGTGTCTCCAGGCAAGGACTGGACCTAAGTGTCCCATTCACAGGGCAGGATGGGGAGGAAGGAGCAGGGTTTCTCTGCTGTCACCACTCATATGGTTAAGGTCCCTGGGTGACTCTCCTTGGAGGGGACTCTTCCTGTGGACTGCTGGCCAATCTGTGGTGGTGGCTAGCTGTTGTCTTGACGGTCTTTTTTTTGTGGGTGCTTACTAAATGATGAATCCATACCAGAGACCCTCAGATGGGTTGGGGGAGCCACCAGTGTCACTTCCAGAGGCCTGGCTGGACCACATACCCAACAGCTCCTACCTGATGTTATTCAGCCAACACACTGCGCTCTCTAAGGCCCTGCCCGAGGCCCATGCAAGACCGTACACACACTGGGGCTACCAATAGTCTGAATCGTCTGACAGCCTCTCTAGAACATTCCCCCCAGGCAGACCACTGAAATCCCACTGCCATCATCCATCAAGGGCCACAAGCCTCCAGGACTCTTCTGAATGGTGCACCTTGTGGAGTCAGACAAGGGACCCCAGCACACGGGCAGCCACAGAGAAGCAGAAGAGCTGGACCTCGACAAAACGAAAACATCTAAGCTTCATAGGGTCCCATAAGAAGGTGAAGAAAGGTCGGGGCAGGGCTCAAGCAGCACAGGGACTACCTCACAAGCACAAGGCCTTGAGTTCAAACCCCAGTACTGCCCAAAGAAAAATATACACACTTCCCCTGAAAAAAGTGAAGACACTCCATCAAAATGAAAGAATGTATTTGTTAGTCCAATAAGGACTTGTATTTGGAACATAAAATAAATCCTTAGTTTATTAATAAAAATTAAAACAATCCAATTAAAAAAGTAGATGAAGACTAGACATTCTCCACAAAGGAGATGCACAAATGGCCAAAGAACCCACAGGAAGATTCTCCATCTGACTAGGCTTTATGAACATGCAAACCAAGACGACAAGAGCACCGAGGCACTCGGGGGCCTAACCAGACAGCCACTTCTGCAGTACTGGCACACCACTTTCCTCCAAAGGTGCCACACGGAGCAAGATTTCCCTGCTCCCAGTGCTGCTCACTGCAGCAGCATGGGACATCACACCCCAGGTGGCCCATCCACAGCCATCAAAAAGAAGCAAGTTCTGACACCTGGGAGAACCTTGAAGCCAGGACACACAGTGAGAACAGCTACAAGGGCACTATGTGGACACTCCACTGAAATGAAACAGGCAAATCCCCGACAGAGAGCTGGGGGGCCGTAGCGGGGAGAAGATGGGTGACTGCTAATGGGGCTGTGGTTTGTTCTGGGACAGTGTTCTGGAGTTAGCATGCCAACTAGTGTTTGCATAACCTACTGGGTTATACACTGTAAAGTGGAACATCTTGGAACAATTAACAGGTTAACTCAGAATTCCTGCAGATTGTCATAAACAGAAATGGACAAGTGAAAGAACTTGTTACACAAATTTTCAGCTTCAGACAGGTTATGTATATTTATTGAAAATTCCTCACCAACAATGGTGAAATCAAGACCCCAAATTACAAAACATGATGGCAGTTGATACTTATAAAAATGAAGCGAAGGTCTATGTTTCACAGATTTGTGCAAGTTTCCTTCAAATCTGTCCTCTCATCCGAAAGGAGACCACGGGATCCGTGTTGTGTCTCATGGTGTAATAGTAGAAAACTGCATTCCATTAACAAAAAAATAGCTTTGCTTCAAATAGCACAAGTCTTTAAAGTGACTCTTCTCCACAATAAATATAGAAAATAGCCTTTATCAAGCGCATGTATCTTAGCTCGGTCAGGGCGGCTGAGCTTACGGAGAAAATATGTTGTCATCTCAGGGCAGAGCCATCTCTGGTGCCTGGTCAGGCATGACACCACGTGAGGCTGCCCGTGGAGTCCTTCTTACTGGTGCCCAGGGCCATGAGGTACTTCAGGAGGTACTGCGGGCCTGGGTGCATCGGAGGAGGGGAGGCCCTGGCATGGGGACCCCTTGAAACGTTATCTGGGCTCCACTTGCCCACCAGGGTGATCAGGACAATGGTCAGCCAGACCAATGGTCACACTGACGGGGTCTTAGGTGGGTGGGCCTGCTGTATGAGCTGTGGGCGTTTCACCCTGGGCTTCCTCCGCTTCGGCCTGCTCTTGGCCTTATTGATCTGCACCACAAAGAAGGCCAGGACCACCATGGCTCCCAGGAAGGCAAAGACAGGGATGGTCTGGCCTACCTCCTGGTTGTAGCGGCCGGGCCTAATGCCTGCAAAAGACAGGGAGGCAAGGATTAGCAGAACAGCCT